GCAGCTTGCGGAGATCTTTAACATGAACCGGAGGATCCTTGCTTTTAAGAACAAACCACCCATCCGCCCCCCCTTTGGATGGTTTTCTGAATGAGAACTCTTCCGCTTACCAGGCCAAACCTACAAAACCCCGTCGCCACATTCCTCAGGTAGGCAAGTAGAGCTTGATTGTTCTTGAGGTCAGGGGTCTGCATTAACAGGTCCATACCAGAATTTAGACCTGAACCGGACCGGAATGGACCGGTCCGGACCGGTCCGGAATTTTCAGGTCCGGTCTTCGGTCCTCCGAAATTTAGGATTCCGGGTTTCCGGTATATAATAGAATATTATTTTTTTAAAATAAATAATTAATTCATTAGACCATTATCCTTTCAAATTTCTTCTTTTTTCAATTTTATTAGACTCCTAGCATGATATGTTACTTAATTTCAATTTTTACTTTAAGTATTTTTTATTTAATGTTTTTCTTTGAAGTTTGAACTTTGGTTTGAGATTTTTTTCATAGATTTTGTAGTGTTATGAACTTATGAATTTAACAATTGCCCTCCAAAGTGAATTGTTATTGTTATAAATTTGGGGATTGATGGTATTACATATATATTTACATATACAATTTAGATATGATTTTTTTATAATGAAAAATACCCGGGGTAGGTCATTTATGTTTAAATTCCGGTCCAAAATAGGTTAAACCCGGACCGGGCCGGAAAATTCAGGTCCGGACCGGTCCGGACCGGTATCTAACAGGTCCGGTCTTCGGTCCTTGCAAATAGAGGATTCCGGTTCCGGTCCATTCCGGTTCCGGTCCGGTCCGGTTTTGGACCAGTGCACACCCCTACTTGAGGTTAGCGGGTCAATGATAGAAGGGATTCTTTTTTTCTCACAATGAATGATTCATTTTTGCAGACATCTGAGAGGACTTTAGATGCCCCAGATATTTTGGATGATTACTACTTGAATCTACTAGATTGGGGAAGCATCAATGTTCTCTCTATTGCTCTTGGGAGTACTGTTTACCTGTGGGATGCTTCTGAGGGCAGCACTTCTGAATTGGTCACAGTTGATGATGAATTTGGTCCGGTTACGAGTGTTAAATGGGCTCCCGACAGAAGGCATGTTGCCATTGGCTTGAATAATTCTGATGTCCAGCTTTGGGATTCCACGGCTAACAGATTCGTATGCTTCTTCTCAAGCTCTTTTGTATTCAGGCTTGGTTTCTTTTCTTTCGATGATTGAATGAATACTGAGTTTTTGTTTGCTGGGCAGTTACGAACTTTGAGAGGTGGCCACCAATCACGAGTAGGAGCCCTCGATTGGAACAATCATATACTGACAACAGGTGGGATGGATGGTATGATTTTCAACAATGACGTCCGGGTGAGATCACATATTGTGGAAACCTACAGAGGACATAGTCAAGAAGTGTGCGGCCTAAAATGGTCTGCCTCG